CAGTGAGGTGCTGGAGAGGGGCCAGAGAAGGAGCTGGTGCAGGGCCTGGAGCACAAGCGTGATGGGGAACGGCTGAGGGACCTGGGGGTTTAGTCTGGGCAACGGTTGGACTTGATCTTGAAGGTCTTTTCCAACCTAGTTGAGCTCATGATTCCAAGATGACCCAACAGAGCAGCTCCCCATGTTGGGAGCAGGTTCAAAGCCCTCACCCTACGGAGCAGAGGGCTGGGCAAGGAAAGGCTTTGGGATGTCAGAGGGACCACGTTCAACGGTGAAGATTTAGGTGCCCTCAACAGAGCTGCAAGACCCCAGCGCTGCATCTGCGGCCACGTCGCCGCATCCTGCCCCAGCGAGCAGAGCACAGAAGCATTTGGAAGGGTCTTATCTCTGCCCAGCAGCCAGGAACCGGTTCACCCAGCCCAGCCCAGCCCCCTCCAGCAGACTCACCTTTCCCTTTCCCCTTCCCCTTCCCTTTATTGCCGGAGTTCCGAGCGTGGTTGGGAGGATCCTCAAAGCTCTTGGTTTTGGCGTTGTAAGCCTGGGGAAGAGAAGGCCTTTGGGACACTCGGACACAAAGAGCCTTGTCCAGCCTTTCCCAGGCATTGCCAACACCCCGTGGGAGCTGCAGAACCACGCTGGGGCCTGCGGAGGGGCTGTTCCATCACCTCAAAGAGCAGGGATTCAGCCCCTCAGCTCCATAGGGATCAACTGCTCAGCTTAAAGCTTCCCTTGGATCCAAGCCATGGATCCCAGGAGGTGGCAGCTCCTCAGGGCCTCACCTCTAAGAAGCAGAAAAAAAAAGCCCACCGGCGGAGTAGTCCTGGATGCTCTCGGTCAGGTCCTCCCCGTACACCACCGTGCACCGGCCCTGCACCGCACGGAAGTCGACCGTGGTCTCCTCATCGCTCCAGTACAAGAGGTTGATGTCCGCGTGGTAACTGCCCTTCATGGACTTGTGCGTGTTCTCAGGTCTGCAGGAGGGGAAAACCCACCTGGATCAATGGATTTGGGGCCGGATCCAGCCCTCGGCCTCCTCCCATTATGGCACCTTCTCACCTGTAGAACTTGCAGATGAGCAGCTTGATGTCGGCCTCGTTGGGTTTCCCGTTGCTCCGCAGGTGGCAGAAGATCTCCTTGATGCGGCCCACGCGGAACGGGTCCGGAGCATCCAGGTTGCTGCCCTTGATGTACTCCGAGTACTTGCGGTAGTGCTCTGGGTGCAGCTCCTCGTCCACCGCCTCCTTCTTGGGGCGCTTGGCCGGGCTGGCGGGTTTCATGCTGGGACAAGGGGATGGGAGGAGGTTGGGGGGTCCCTTTGCCCCCCTAAAAACCCCTCTAACACACAGCAACACAATCGGGATCATCTCATCCCAACAGGAGGTGAAACTGGGCTTAGAAGCACCTTCATTTCTTAAGCTCAGCTTCTGGAAATGAGGGTGATGGATGCTCCATTCATCACCCACAGACTATGTCCTCTACCATCAAATCACAGAACCAGCCACGTTGGAAAAGAGCTTTAAGACCATCAAGTCCAACCTTTACCCCAGCACTGCCAAGGCCACCACTAAACCGTGTCACATCCACACGGTTTGGGAACACTTCCATGGATGGTGACTCCACCACTGCCCTGGGCAGCCCGTTCCAATCCTGACCACCCTTTGGGGAAGGACTTGTTCCTAATACCCCATGTAAAAGGCCACCAAAACGACCAAATTGCATCCTGAGAAGCACTTACAGCCCCCTGCATGCACCAACCTGAAGGAGAAGGCTTCTGGCAGGAGGTAGACACCATCTCCCACCCGGTACTGCACCCCATTCTTGGTGGCCACAGCATAGAACATCTTCCCATCACCTTCCTCCAGCGGCTCGGCCACTTTGGGTATCTCCTTGTGCCTCACCTCATCCAGGCGTGTGCAGCTCATGCAGAACCTGCAGGAAGAGGGACCACGGTGACGGGCACCCAAGAGGCTCCTGCTGCCTTGGTTTGGGCAGAGCAACCTCCCAGCCCTGCTCACACTCACTTGTACTTGTTGTCCTCTGTGGGCTGGGTTTTCGGTGGCGACTCGAAGCGAGCGTACTCCTGGTCGTACCACATCTGATAGAAGTAAGTTCTCCCATCGTCTTCCACCATCTTGATCTCCATGTCCAGCCCACCCTGCTAGGAGAGAGGGGGCCACGGTGATGGGTGCCGCTGCCCGCGCCGCGCTGGCCTCGCCAGGGCTCTCACCCACCTCCATGGACCAGTTCTCCGAGGGTGCCTTGTAGATGACGTTGACTTTGCCATGGATGTAGGAGAGCTGCATGTCCTCGCACTCGTCCACCAAGAAGAGCTCCAGGGGATCAGAGGTGGCCCCCAGGACAGTGTCGGAGCCAGGGCAGAACCAGTGTGCGTGGAACATCTGGCCGCTGCTGTCCTCCCACATGGCTGTCACCCTGAGGAGCAAAAAGCCAAGGTCATGGGGCACCAAAGCTGCTCCAGGGTCCTCCAACAGCAGTGATCCGAGTTCTCCAATGCGGAACATGGGCCCAGGCAGCAGGAGCAGAGATTCAGCCCCTCCAGCACCAACCTGGCGAGGTAGAGGGGCTTGGTGGGATCATCAGGGCTGACAGAGACACAGTCTCCCACCTCCAGGGTCTCCAAGTCAATGCAGACCCTCTGGTAATAGTCCTTCTTCCCATCGCTCTGCAGAAGGAGGGGGACAACGGTGTCAAGCCCCGCTACGAGGCACCCCAAGCACCAACCCTGCACTGGGAGGGGAGCCTCACCTTGATGGGCTCCCCCACCCAGGAGATGCGGCTCTTGTTCTGCTTCTTCTTCCTGCCCTGCAGCATCTTCTTGGGCGACGGCATCTCAGGGATGTTATCATCCACCTCCTCGTCCTCATCGGCTTCCCGCACGGCCAGGTTGGGACATCTATGGACACAGGGAGCATCGCTGCAGCAGGGAACCGGCGCGGGGCCCACGGCCCCTCTCTCTGGAGGTAGGAGGACCCGGAGAGGTGGCCCCACGCCTGGGGGACACCAACCTCCTCTGCAGACAGGCCTGTTTACTGCGGCCGCTGCCCCCAAACTTCACCATGTTCTGGCACGCTTTGCACTTCCCACACTCGGGCTGCTGGCAGACCTGGAGCAGGGCGAGGGACAAGCTGAGCACGGACAGGGCAAGGGCAGCTTTGGAAACAGGTCCCCTGCCTTAAGGAAGCGACCCCAGATGGAGATCCTCATGTAGGTAGACAGGGACCAGGTCACTGCCCTCCCTGGTACCTCGCAGACCCCGCAGCGCCGGCGCTTCATGGCGTTCTCCTTGTCGTCTTCTTTCTCATCCTTCTCGATCTGCTCCGAGAAGAAGGTGTCGAAGATGAGGTACACCAGCCTGGTGGTGGTGGCTTTGGTGGGCCCTTTATCCTTGTCTATCTTGGTGGGGTGGCGGATGGCCTGGCGCCGCACAGCTCGCCTGCAACCAAGGGGACAGCAGTGAGAGGGGGGCACCCGACAGCACGGCACCCACAGAGGGCCCCCAGGGAGCAGAGCTCTCCCCAGAGCACCCAACAGGTTGAGGATCACGACCCTTAAGAGGCCCCCCATGGGTGGTGATGATGCTACGAGCAGGACAAAGAGCAAAGCCAGGCTCTGGAGACTCAACCCAGTGTCCTTTCTCCATCAGGACAGGAGTTTTCCCAGTCTGGGGGGGATTTCTGCTCCAGTCTCCCAGCTCTGAGCCCAAATCCTCAGGTCCCCTCATAAAGGGTTTTCCATAAGGATTCCCTATGCAAAAGCCCTGCCAAGCTCCTCCTGGACCACTGCAAAGCCAAGAAGGAAGAAGCTCTTCCCTGTGAGGGTGCTGGGACACTGGCACAGGGTGCCCAGAGAAGTGGTGAATGCTCCATCCCTGGCAGTGTTCAAGGCCAGGCTGGGTGACACGGTCTGGTGTGAGGTGTCCCTGCCCATGGCACGGGGTTGGAACTGGGTGATCTTCAGGTCCTTTCCAACCCACCCCATTCCATGGTTCTCGGATACCCCCAAAAGAGGAGCAGGGATCTGGGCTCACCTCTTCCCCAGGGTGACTCCAGCCAACTTGATGAGGTCCCTCATGCAGGGGGTGATGAGGACGGGGGGTTCGTCGCTGTCCCCAGCTTCATCGTAGCTTTCCACTTGCTCCACCACGAACTGGGCATGGCGCAGGAGCGAGTCCTCTGTGAAGCGGTTGAAGTTGAGCCCCGCGGGGGGGACCGTGGTCTGCGAGGACGGGGGGGTGGTTAAAGGACAGGGCACAGCAAAGGGAACCCCCCCAAAAACACCCCCCCACGAGCTGGTGCCACCAGCAGGTTCCTCACCTCGATCTTGTTGAGCAGGTCCTCGTAGCTGACGTCGCGGTTGTTCTGCAGGAACTCCACCACGATCTTGCTCATGTAGATCTTCTCTTGCATGAGGGCGAAGATGGGCGCGTACTCCTCGCTGGGCTCCATCAGGATGTAATCCGCGAAGGCTGCGGCACACGCATCCCACAGTTCAGGGGGATTTAGGGATGAAGGAGGACTTCCCGAGGAGGGGAAGAGCAAGCACCAAGAGCTGCGTGTGCAGCTCCACCAGGAGCCCTGGTCACTCGACTGTCACCACTAAAGCAATGGGGGAGTGAGGTGGGACGCTCCATCTATCTCATGAGACACCAAAGCCAACCCAGGGATTGCTTTCCTGTCACTACAAATTCCAGCTCTTGAAGCTCAGGAGATGCCACCAGGTTACTGGAAGGGTTCCTTGCGCAAATGGTGAAAAGGAAAAGCTTTTAATGCCCCCCAAATAGCAGCTTCTTGCCCCAGTTTGCCTACAGAGAGCGTGACCAAGACAGCAAAGACACAGAGCCAAGGGCTGGGTGTCCCTCCGAGACCTTCCTCAACATAAACCTGACCCAAAAGCCTGGGGCATGGAGTAAAAGAGCCACAAAGCCCTCAAACACGGGGGGAGAAGCTCCAGAGCAAGGAGAAAACTCCATCCAAGCCTCACAGCCAGAGCTCAATAAAGCTTCTGCGTGGTCCTGCACCTCACCACGTCCTTGCTGGTGCAAGTTCTTAGTGATGGCAAAGCCCATGGAACCAAATGAAGTTCCTTCAGGAGCGGGATACATGGTAGAGATGGAAATCCCAAGCCAGGGGCATCAGCGCTCACCCACCTGTGGTGAAGCCGATCAAAGCCTTCTCCCCTCCATCGAAGCCCGTGATCCACCAGGCGTTTATGGGACCCAACTTCTTGGCTCTCACCCCACCTAGAAGCAGGAAAACACACGTTTCCCTCTCCAATAACCCCCAAAACCAACCTCAAGCAGATGATGAAGCACCCCAAGGGTCCCATTCACGTTGCCCGAGACATTCGAGATGACAAACCCTCCTCCCTGCAGCCCTCCCTGAGGGTCTTCTGTGTCCAACTCACCATCCAGACAAGGGTTGTCGTCATAGATGGGCTTCACAGCCCCACTGAAGTACAACTCGATGTTCCTCTCGATCAGGCCAGTGTCAAAGGGGCACAAGTGGCCTCTCTTGTCATAGACGCTGGTGAGGGACAGAGGTGGCCGCTCAATGCGTTGTCCCATTGGATTTGTGACTTCGAGGGCTTGGGATAACCCAGTTCCCACCGGATCTCACCTGAAGGAGGTGACCTTGTGCTGCGGCAGGTCCTCATAGCTCTCAAAGCCATCCTCATTGGCATCAAAGAGGGACAAGCGCTCGTCCGTCAGCATCTCGGGCTCCTCCAGCTGAACCAGGGCGAGAGCAGGACGTCAACGCTCCCGTGAGCACCACGGCTCTGCCCGCGCCCGCGGAAGGAACCTGGAATCCCTTACGGCATCATCGGGATCCCCTTGGAAGAACTTGAGGTCGGGATCGTCCAGGTACTGCCGGCAGTCGATGCACTTGGGAGGGGTGGTCTGGAAGAGGTTGGGAAGAGTCAGGAAGAGTCCAAGTACCCAACACAACGCAGGGATGGAGGAGAAGGAACTCACTTTAACGGGTGGTGGGGTTTTAATCAGAGTCAGTTCATCTTTCACCTCCAACCTGGGGGTAAAAGGGGGAAATACAAAGGGATGAAGAGCTGGAGCGGTGTCAAAGAGGCACCAAAAGGTATTTCCTTCCTCCTCACCCTTCTTTGGTCTCGATTCTAATCCTCTTCTCATCTTGTTCCTGGAGGGAGAAGCAAAGAGGAGTCAAGAGGAGACCAAAGAGGCTCAACGCGGCCCATCAAAGCCCTCAGCACCCACCTTCTCCTCCAGCTCCTCTTCCTCCTTCTCCACGTTTATCACTTCCTGCTTCACCTCCCCATTGACCTCCTCTGATTTCCGCTTGGTGGACCTGGAGGTTTGGAAGGCAACGGATCAACCCAACAGCAGGAGAGGCTGGGATGGGATGAGCACCAACACCCCCCCAAGGCTGGTCTTATGGAGTCTGGGATCAAATCCATCAGCTCCAGAGAGAGGCAGAGAGAGGAAGAGGAGGATGAAGGCTCCTGGGGAATGTGGTAAAGGAGACGGAGCCCCCAACCCTGCTGCTGTACTGACCCTTTGGAGAACATGCTCAGGAGGGTCGGCTGCCGGCCGGAGCTCCGAGTGACCCGGGAACTGGCGGGAGACTCTGTTGGTAATACAATAAGGGATCGTGTCAGCAACGGGGACCTGCTGCCCTTCCCTTCCCTTCGCACCCCTCTTCCTGCATCCCACCACCCCGGAGCAAGGCAAGGAGCTCCCAAACCCTTCCAGAGGTGCTCTCAATCCCTCTGGGAACCACCGCGCTCCCGCTCGGCATTTACTAGCGATAAATGGCGGCGTTGGGAATAGCTGGAAAACCAAAGGGCGCCGTTACTTTTGCTCTCCCCGTTGGAGCGGCTCCTCCGGGCCTTGCGCACCCGCGGCGTGAAAGAGGAGGACGAGGAGGCAGCGGCTTCCTCCAGCTCCATGGCGCTGTC